TCCCTACAAGTATTAGATTCTTTAGTCTTTTGTGTTGAGGAAGAAGAGGAGAGGAAAGGTAAGAAAACAAATACTTGCCAGTCTAGGAGTAATTCTCCCTTGTCCCTTCCTAATCACATGTCCTCAGTTTCCCTGGACTCTTACTCCCATTACACTTTTGTTGAATAAACAGAATGTTTCTTTGGGAAGAGCTGCTTCAATTGATAGGTGAATGAGAAGGGGAAGAAAAGAAATATGCCTGTTGATCAAAGACCTACCATCCTATCAGCTTCCAAGGAATAATGCATTTTGGGCTGAAGGAAAAATGCTGGGGAGAGACCAGGGATTCCTGCAGGAGTGAGAAACCCTTCTTTTCAGTCTGTTTGATAAGCAGTAAGAATACTAACCCCAGCTTCATAAAACACACATTTAATTCCAAAACAGAGAACACCTAATTTAAAAAAAAAAACAACCCACAAGTGGAACATGACATTTATTAACTGTTAGATGCATTTAGGCCAGCTATATGACCTCAGATCACAGTTTATTCCTTATCCTCAGCATTCTTCCTCCTCTACTTTTTCAAAAAGGAAACAACGTAGATGATCAGCAAGATGTGTGATCCTCCATCCCATTCTATGGGTTTACAGAAGAGGGATGAAGAGGATAAGTTAAGCTGTATACAGCAAGATATGTAACACTACAGTCTGAAGTCACTGTTCAGGGTCTCATGCATCAGTGGGAACAGAAAGCCCATGCAGGTTCCAATAGTTACGTCTCCCTATGCATGCTTTATCTCCCTCTCCTTATGTACTTGCAGGAGAGGTAGTAGCATGTGTTCCAGGTCTCCCCTTTTTTAGGTTTGAGCATAATGCACTTGTAACTTCCCTGTACACCATTACAATTACAGAAGAGACAGTATCTTTATTTAAATGCATTGGATACTTTTGCTGGTGCCACTGCCAGGTGGGAGAAGATTGAACAGTTTTCCCACCACCTGTGATTGCAGCCAGAGGATTTATTATTTGCTAATAAGGTCAAGGAAGCCAAAATGGAGGGGTGGCAAGGATTTGGGATTCTTGGTAAATGCCATAAAAAAGTAGAAATCAAAGGAGTTCAAAGACAGGGAGACAAATACATAGAGGTGGGAAAGAGAGGTGAAGATAAAACCAGAAGAAAATGAAGTGAATTGGGGGACAAGACAGACAAACTGAAACCAACATAAAACAAGGTATTTGAAAAAAATGGTTATGAGAGGCAACTGTGTGTTCTGAAAATGTCATCATTATCTTTTATGAGTTAAAATACATGGAAAGAGGAGATGTCACTTTTTTCTACATGCTGCTGCTGCTTCCTGATTTTGGCTAATTGTCTCCAGCCCCCTCTTTTTCCCATCCTCCATTCTTTTTTCTCCAAAAGGAAATAAGCCCACAAAATAACATTTCTCAACTCATTCTACACCACTAAGATACCAACTGTTTCCTATACTTAGTATATCAAATAACAGTAATGCCTGCTGATGGTGCTGATTTCTGAAAAGATTGATTTCTTAACTGGAATCAGCACACTATATATGTATATATTTATGTGTGTGTATATATATATGTATGTATGTGCATGTGTGTGCAAAACTTTCGTTCAAAAGTGGTAAAGTGATATTTTGCCTTAAGTATAAATACTCATCTACAGAATAAACTACTTCACTGGCCATTTTACAGTCATTATTTCATAACTACTAATCTAAGTGGATTTCAACCAGGCAAGTCTTGGTGTTGGGCAGACCGAGTCTGTTACAGCTGTAGATAAAACGGGTGTAATGTGGAAGCACAGTACACCGGGAGAGATTTTCAGAGACACCGCACTGTGGGAAACTGCTGCTGCAACATCTTTCTAAAAGGGAGAGCACAGAGAACCCAAGCAGGGTTAGCTCTGCTTCCTTGGCTAGACTAGGAAGGCAGAAGTATTGCCTCAAATACTCCGTTTCCTGTGGCCAGGACAGAGGCAACAACAATACCTTTGAGCCTTAAGTGTGAAAACTGGATTATGCCCAAGCCCAGCAGACAAACAAGGAGGAAGTAACACCAGGCTCTTGCGGGTCCGAGAACAAGATATATCACACATGTCACTTTACAGGGGAGAAATAATACTGCGTATTCATTACCTTCTCTTCTGAGTCCCCTGGCTGGCAGGTAATAACTCCATCTCGTGAGCCCCCAGCAAACGTTGCTTTGCAGTTTGCAAGCCACTGTTTTCAGAAAGAAATTGAAAGAAGATATGAATATGGCCTATAGTTTGATTTGCAGAAAGGTAAGCGGTATTTTAGCTTCACAGCACAGCACGCAAACAAATAAAATTTTGCAATTGCACTTTTTATTCACACAGACTATGACAATTTGCTTTGACTGTAATTTAAAAAGAGTATTCTCTATTTCTATTAGTATTTGAAATGCATGAACCAAGAAAATGAATTAATTACTGAATAGGAGAAAGGAGAGACCAGGAATATTAAAGATGCCAATGCTTCTAAAATTAAGGGATACAATATCTATTTTTTTAGTTCTGGTTCGTATGTTCAGGAAGAACATTTAGTGAATCTAGTATCTAAAACATGTTTTTCTACTGAATATTAGTTTAAACAGATCTGAGTGTATCGGTAATCTCTTGACATATCTTAAGTATACGCACATACAAAACCAAGAACACAACATAATCCAGCATACCGAGAGCGTTGCTTCTTTCCTGTTATTGTATGTGTCCAGGTACTCCTGCAGTTCTAAAACACTGAACTTCAGCTTTTCAAGAAGGCCACAAGAGAGCAGCTGGAGAGATGAAATCAAAAGGGCTAGTAAATGTCACTATAAAAGAGTAAAAATATTAGCAGAGTAGAAAGTGTAGTAAAGATCTTGCAAAAGAATACTCAGATTTACAGATACCGATACTGAAAAATATTTACATTTATGCAAAAATATACATAAATAGAATGCTATACTGAAAACTGAATAGCAAAAGTTGCATTTATAATAATGTGGAGTTGAAACCGTGTTCGGTGTTTAACAGCTTTGCAGAGGACTTCACTAAAATAAAATACAGCACAAAGCTTAACTAGTTAAGCTCTCTGATGATGTAAGGCACAGCTCTTCCATGGTCACAGCAGTGGGCCCAAGATTACGCTTTGCAAGTTCCTACCTCTATACTTCTGTGTGTGTGACGCCACGCTGTCCTGATGCTGTTGGATAAACATGGGCCAGAATGAAAACAATGGGACAGGCCATCTCATTCATTCCCTAAGATATGTTTTTATCATCCAGCTCACATCACACTTGACTCAAATGAAACCACTAAACATGTTACCATCTTTCATACTGAACTATGTAAAAAATAGCTTCTCCTTTTCCCCTCGTATCAGAAATAGCATGGACAGCAGGACTAAGGAAGCAATTGTCCCCCTGTACTCAGCACTGGTGAGGCTGCACTTCAAATACTGGGTTCAGTTTTGGGCCCCTCACTACAAGACAGACATTGAGGTGCTGGAGCGTGACCAAAGAAGGGCAACGAAGCTGGTGAAGGGTCTGGAGCACAAGTCTTATGAGTAGTGGCTGAGGGAACTGGGGTTTTTTAGTGTGGGGAAGAGGAGGTTGAGGGGAGACCTTATCGCTCTCTACAGCTACCTGAAAGGAGGTTGTAGTGAGGTGGGTGTTGGTCTCTTCTGCCAAGTA